TGTGTGTGTGTGTGTGTGTGTGTGTATGTGTGTGTGTGTGTATCTGTGCATGGAGGCCAGAGACCAACACTAAATCTTCCTCAGTTGCTTCTTTTCCTCATTTACCTGAGACAGTCTCTCACCTGGAACTCATGCATTCAGCTAGCCTGGCTAGCTTGCAAGGTTCAAGGATGTTTCATCTCCCTGGGCCCTAGTGCTGGGGTTATAGGCATGTACCAGCCCTGCCTGACTTTTGATGTGGGTCCTGGGGGACTAAACTCAGGTACTCATGCTTGTACAGGGAGAGCTCTTCTGATAGCCATCTCGCCAGGGCCAATGGAGACATTTTGGGAGGAAATTTATAGAGGGCAAGTCACAGGAGGGAACTGCCAGGGAGGATTGAGCGAACAATGAACCAGCCTCAACATGCCCTTTCTGTTTTCTCACCCACAAATTCAATTCTCTTTTGGGTGCTCTGGGCTTTCCTCATTGGATGGTTCAATATCACCAACAGCCAGAATAGTAAAAAGGTTCTATTTGCGGTACCAACTCTGACTCCATGGGCTTTGCTTCCTGGAAAAGTACTGTGATCCATTAGTAATGTCTGCCATGCACACAGGAAGGAAGGGGTGGTGACAACAGCTGCCTCTCACACTCACGGACTCCATCAATATTCTTCCTAGAATTGTGAAAAGCCTCCTTACCATTGCTCGTTCCATTTCCTCTTCTTAGAATGCCTTCTCCTCATTTAAAATTTTACTCATTTTAAAATGCCCACCTTGGGTATCATCTTACCATGAAGATAATGGATCCTGATTTTCCCAGACACAAATAACTTTTTTTTCCCCTCCGCTAACCTTCCGGGTCTTCATCTGACACCAGTTTATGGCATTTGACACCTTCCCCTATACCGACTGGTTCCTTATTCTAGTCTCATCAGAAAGGCCTGGATTCTTCCCAAGGAGAAGCATCAGTTTTATTATTGCACAGCAGTGTGTCCTAGCTCCACCAAAGCTAGATGTGGGACTTTGGGGAAGCGGTAGACTGCTGGCTCCCCTCAGTGCTTCTTGGCCCGACAAGCAGATGGTGCCATTACGAGGAGGGTGTTTTGTGGCAGGTGTGGATTGGAAATGGATGAAGAATTCATGTACTGAGAAGAGTTCCAACACATCTATCTGCTTTTCTTTCTTCAGGGCTGACTTGAGGCATCCAAGGAGGGAGAGATAAAGTTGCTGGTTCAGGATGCAGAGCCCACGTGTGACTCAGCGAGGAAGGGACTTGGAATCAGCCATGAACCTTCTCAGAAATGACTTCAGTGACTGGGGTAGCCTGGGGTTTCTAGGCATGCATGGGGGAGGCTTCTAGCATTTCTAAAGCCAGAGTCTTAAGGGGGTGGCATCACATGGGGCACCTGTACTAGTGAGCTTAGTGTCCCAAAACCTGGTATGTGGGATGCATATAGCTCCAAACCTATCCTCAGGGACATGTTCTCAGGGACATGTGGGATTCACACTAGTGCAAGGATGGGTGGGGAAGGGAATGAAGTGCCCTCTTTCCAGGTCCTCAGCCATCATCGCTCATGACTTCCACTCAGCCAGGGCCCTGACCCCAGTACGAGAGATTACTTCAAGTCTAGCGGGTGTGCAGGTTCCATGACTCATTTTGCAGCCTGGGTTCCAGGGCAGCACTACTAGGAAGTGCCTCCCAGTGCTGGGGCTCTGCAGGTGGCTCCGTCTCCTTCCTCTCTTGGGTTTTACTGTGTGAAATCTGGCAGCTGATTGCAGAGAGGACTATATGTCCCTCTTCTCTACCCAGAAGGATTTTTCAAGATACTCAGCAAGCTTAGTGTCTTAGCTGGTGCCAGAAATGGGGGGCCACAGCTGCTGCTTCCTGGATTCTGTCCTTGCCATTCATCCTAGCCTACAAGGACCCTGCTGATATGCGAGAACACCCCAGCAGAGGCTCTTATCATGCTGCTGTGGGCGTCTGTGTCTTCATCTTGGCCTCTGTCTTATCTCTCAGCTCTCTCCTCTCACCTGCCACCCATCCTTCTATCACATTTTTCAGCCCAGGTGATGACAGAAATCCAGACAGTAAGAGGCTGTCCTGTTCCCACAGCTGCCCCTACCCCAGCTAGTCAACGCTCTCCTTTTTTAAATTTTAAACAGATAAACAGTCCTGAAGTCTCAGAGTCTGTGTGTGTGTGTGTGTGTGTGTGTGTGTGTGTGTGTGTGTGTGGTGTGGTGTGGTATTTATCTCCCGATATTATCCCTGTTCTGTGTTTCTAAATGTTTCATTTCTGGCTCATTAAAAACATGAAGAAAAGGAAATGCCAGACAACTTCCCAAAGCAGCCAGTGACCAAACAATGTCAGTTAATTTCCTCTGGACAAAACCTTTTGTGCATCTGTTATTTAGTCTCCAGGAACTATTTGCATGGGGACCAGGAATGCCAGAGAGGATCCCCCTCTGTCCCAAAAAAAGCTGAAGAAAGCATGGCATCTAGTCTGCTGTCTCTGCCTCTTTCTTTGGATTGTAGTGTGGGATTAGGGCTTGATGCTGCCCCCTTCTTGCCTCAGTAGAAGCTCAGTCCCCTCCGCTTTCCCATACTTCTCATCCCCATCACCCAGAGGGTTCCCTTCTCCAGCCTTCTGGACTGGAAGATGCTTGAGGACTCTTTTCAGAGCTATACACTTCCTGGGAGAGGAGCCATGTTATAGATCTTCAAATCTCTCATGTCATTCATCCCTCATATGCCATTTCAGCTGCTCACAGCGGTCTGAGGTTCGTTTACCTGATGGAGGTAAATGGTACTGTTGCAGTGTCACAGGAGCTTCAGAAACTTAGGTCACATGCCCAGTGTCTTCACTTTTGGGGAGGAGTCTGAGTTGAAACTAGGCAGTTCAGCTGGACCACTCTATGGAAACCATGACATCCACACTTCTCTAGTATGTTGAAGTTGGAAAGATTTGCTTTGTTAAGTATTCTAAGGATTTCCATCTCCATCATTAGTGACTTGTGTCAATAAAACACACAACAGTGACAGCTGTTAGAGAGGTCAGTCCCAGTGAAAGGGCACAGAGATGTGGAACAGTTGGCTACCTGCGGGAGTCAGGGAAGTCTTTCTGGAGGAGGTGACATTTGGTGGCATTAACATTTGAGTGGGTGGACTGAAGGCAAGCACTTTTGCCCAAGATCCAGGAGCATGCTCTGGATCCAGGGGCTGGCATGGGAGTCACCTGGCAGAGCAAACGGGGCCATAGCTTGTGTTTGGTGTGGGCAGGCACACCCGAAGATGGTTTTTGGTCATGTAGAAGGAGCTGTCCTGAAGGAGGCCAGCTCTGGCCTGTGCCTTTGAATAAACCCATGGTTGTGTTACCAAAATCTATGGCTCATATGACTCCAGGGTTCTAAATTCTGTGTCATCATAGTTACAATATAAAAAGAGAGATTCATTGTTGGGCAGTGGTGGCTCATACATTTGATCCCAGCACTCAGGAGGCAGAGGCAGGAGGATCTGTGAGTTCAAGGCCAACTTGATCTATAAAGTGAGTTTCAGGACAGCTAGATAGCTAATGCTACACAGAGAAACCTGTCTCAAAAACAAACAAACAAACAAACAAAAACAAAAACAAACAAACAAAAAACCAAAAATCCAAAAGAAAGAGTAGCCGGAAGGCAGCTTCACTGTTGAAAAACTTAAGAATGTCTGGCACAATTTGGGCATGTAAATCAGTTTTCAACATTGTATTTTATGAACCAAATGCAAAGCATGTATTTCTGAGAAAAATCTGGAGTCCACACTGAGCTGTGTCCTTGGTACATGACATATACAAGGTTCTAAAAACACATATTATCCTTTCATGCATCTTAGATGCTACAATTCTGGGTATAGAGATAAGTAAACACATAAAAACAATTAAAATTAATAAACTAATTACATGTGTATGTGTATATAGGCATGCAGCATGGTGTGTGTGTGTGTGTGTGTGTGTGTGTGTGTGTGTGTGTGTATAAGTCAGGGGGCTTGCAGAGTCTGTTCTCTCCTACTACATAGGTTCTGGGGATTGAACTCACGACATAAAGTTTGGTAGGGGGCATCTTTATCTACTGAGCCATCTTGTCAGCCTAATAAAAATCAATTTCAACTGTTAGAATTTTCTTTTCTGAAAGTGACCTGTCAACCTGGCATGATGCTTGTCTATTCTCATAAAGTTTTATGTAAAACTAAACCATAGTGACTGCCATGTCCAGACAGCACAGTCCCTACAATTATGTACATAGCAGCTGGAATGGCTGCAGTACTGTTGATGGGTTTCCAGTTTTCAGGGCGAGGTAAAAGGGTCACACTGCACTGTCTGTAATTCCACAGGCAGCTCAGGCCTGTGATTCTCAATACTCAGTCCAGATGAGCAGCCCCTTTGGGGACTCTGAGGCTGGTGGCTGGAACTTCACTCAGAGGGATCCTTCTGGCTTTTAAGGGGAGATTGAATTGTGGGGACTCAAGGCTGGTGACTTGAGGGTTCCCTTCCAAGTGCCTGCTGAGAAGAGGCCTTTGCCTGGTCCTGGCCACCAGACCTGCCCTGAGGCAGGGAACTAGAATGATGGCCTGAAGGGCCCAGTGTGCCAGAGGGACAAATACCAGGCACTGTCTAACAGCAACTAGCGCCTCTTGGAGGGGCCACTGGTGAAGCTGCCCTCAGATTAATCCCAAACCCACTATGGAGACAGCCTAAGTGGCCCTGGCATGGTAGGACAATCGGCTTGGCCCAGGTTCTGAATCTTCCCAGCGATTTCTTCTGGGCCCAGAGCCCAGGGCAGGCAGTTGGACCTACTTGTAAGAAGGTATTTTTGGTGTCTTCCCCTGAGCCCCATCATGTAACTAGTTTTCTTCTTGCCTTCTAAGGCCTGTACAGATTTGCCTGTTTACTGGGGTTCAAAGAAGACAGTATCCAGGGGCTTTGGGGAGGCTGACCTCAAGTGTGTGAGGACTGTGATGTCCTGGCTGGGCACAGAGCCTACCTTCACAATGTCCTCATTGATGTTCTTGGGGTCGCGGTTCACCAGGTCTATCTCCTTGCAGTGGATGTCCTTGATGATCCGGGCCTCCAGATCAGAGTGCTCTTCAGTCATCATGGTGGGGCTGCGGCACCTTCAGGAGGAGATCCGAGCCTTGTAGTCTGTGCCGTTGACAGTCCTGGGACAGAAGGACCAAGCGTGGGGTCTCCAGACTGGTGCCCCTGCTGGCTAAATAGGCCCCACCCAGCATGCCGCCTGACAGCTGTCCTGCATAACTTCAGCAGGCCTCTGGTTAAAGCTGCCGGTGGCACGCCTCCAAGCTAAAATTAAGACTGGATGGCAGAGCGCTCCTTAAAGGGGGCTGTGCTGGCCACTGGCCTCACGAGAGAGGAGACCTGGCATCCCCTGCCAGCCACCAGGCACGGCCTTCCTGGTACTCTCTGGAGGCGTGCTGAGCAACTCCCATGGAGTCCCTGGAATTTGCTCCTGAGTACTCAGGCTCCTCCCAGGATGAGCTGCCCAAGAAGGGAGTTGGACTGTCCCAGCTCCGCCTCTTGCTAACTGCTAAGTGACCTTGGCACATGCCCCCCTCTGGGCCACCAGGACCCTAACTGTGAACAGGGATATTATAAGGAGTTGGTAATACCATCAAGACTCCTCCCACCCTGGAGGGGAAGAGACTGGCTTTGTGGGGGACTCTACTGGGGGAACTGGAAATGTCTGGTAGAGTTTCCTTAGATTAGTGACTGGCTTCAGTGGTCAAAACTGTGTATAAAGATGTAAATGCCTGTAGGGTTGAGACATAACGAGAGAAAGGACATCCATGCCTGTCACATGCTCCTCAGGTGAGGTGCTCAACACTGGCTGGAACCTTGCCTTAGGCGGGCCTTTGTTTTCTCTGGGCCTTTCTTTCCTCTTCTTTAGTTAGCTTGGCTATTGACCCTCTTCTCCAGTGTTCCTGCTCTGGCCATTGTGGCAGGCATTTCCACTCTAACATTTGTTCTAAGTGTAACAGCAAGCTAAGCTTGTAAGACCCTCAGAATGAGGAGTCTTCCAGGTTCGGTCGATACCCCAAGAACTCAGTGTCCAGTCCAGTTGCTGCAAAACGCAAGAGGTTTTAATGAACAGGAAATGTTTGTGCAAACGGGCTCCTCTAGCATGCAGGCTAGAGAGAAGCCCCCTCCCCTGGGCCCACGTGTTTTTAAAGGCAAACTGACAAGCTTAGGGAGGGGGTGGGACCCTCTGTCGATTGAGTATGTGATCCTTGGAGGCCAGATGGTCTGCTATTAGGGTCAACAGACCTTAGGGCCTCAGGTGTGCTAATTAATCTTGTCTGGGCAAACCAGAGTTACAGCTATCTCTTTGTTTCCTAAGGACCCTATTTACCACCTGTTGACTCATGGAAAGGAGGGGCAATGTGAATTCTTATCTCAGGGCCTTGTGAGAGAAAGTTAGCAAATTCCAAGGAACAGATATTGGTTTCCAGGTCAGTCCATCATTAACATTACTTTTTTGGTCTTTCAAGCTAACATTCATCTTTCCTACCCAAAGCTGTCTTTGTTCACAGTGACACAGAAGAGACTAACATCTTGGCCCCGATCTTCCTGCCTTGGGGCAGGCCTGTGGTTTTCCTCTGAAAGGGTAATCAACGGACTAGACTGCAGGGTGAGTGGACCTGGGGATGAGACAGGAAGATGAGAACTCTGGGTGGGGGTGTTGTTCAATTCTCTATGTGCCAGGGCTGCCACCTTCATGTGGCCCTGGTTCCAGTCTCCATGCAGTCCATCCACCAGTGGGGTGGCCCTTTTAGACACTTTTCAAGCCCTCTTGCAATTTAGCTGTCTCAAAACTCTGCCATATGGAGGATGACAATTTTGAAGCCTGGAGGCCAAGGGCTATGGGTTTGTTTATCCAGTCATCTACACATTCATTCAGGATTTTAGAGCTGGGGATAAAGTGGTAGATCAAGCTCTGACCCTGCCTCAAGGGCCCAGGCTAGGACACAATGATGGAAAGCTGATGAACTCCTCGGCAGTGTGGCAAGTGATATGTTAGATATGGTTTATAGACAAGTCTATGGGAAGTGGTGTTTTCTCTGATGCCCTTAGGAAAGTTTTCCTGGCAGGTAGTTGTAGAGTTAGGCAGGTAGCTGTAGAGTTAGGCATTGGAGGATGAGTAGGAGCCCATCACAGGAAATCCTTTAAACAGAACAATCATGGCCTCAGAGGGGTATGAAGTGGCACACAGAAAAGCTTGAAATGACTAGATAACAGGATATTTGGGGCCTGGGGTGGGTAGGGGATAGGGGATAGGGACAGGATCACAGGTGTCACACTTTTATCTAGAGGTGGATTATGGGTTGGATTTGAGTCAGTCCCTGTGAAAGCCCATATGTAGAGGTCTGGTCTCCATCTGGAGATTCTATTGAGAGACATTAGATCATGAGAGTTCTAGCTCCATCAAATGGATTCATCCCTTGATGAATTCATAAGCTACTAGTAGGTGGGGCTTGGTGGGAGGAAGTAGGCTACTGGGGCAGGGGCATGCTTTTGAAACGTACATCTTGTCCCAAGAGCTAATCTCCCACTCTTTCTGCTTCCTGGCTGCCAGAGTGAGCAGTGCTGTTGCACAGAGCTCTTCCACCCTGATGATTTGTCTTATATGCAGGCGCAGAAGCAATGCAGTCAGGTGGCCATGGGTTGAAACTAAATGAGCTGAAATAAATCTTCCCTCCCTTAAAATGTTCCCCTTGGGCATTTTTCTCATAGCATTGAAAACTGACTAACATGAAGTGTAGGAAAACCACTAACAGCATTGTGGTGGCAGAGAAATTTTATCTGGCTTGTGTGTGAGGAAGGTCACTGGTGCCCACATATAGGATAGGGTAGCTGGGAACTGGGTGAAGTTTGAGGTAAGAAGGCTGATCAGAAAGCTGGAATGGGGAGTGAACTGAGGGTAAAGCTTAATTGTTAGAAACCCTGGGCTCCATCCCTATCACTGCAAAAAACTGGACATGATGACTCAACCTGCAATTACAGCACTGGGGAGTAGGCAGGTAGAGTGTCAGGAGTTCAAGGTCATTTTTGCTACACAGAAAAAAACTGAGGTCAGCCTGGATTACATGAGACTCTGTTTCAAAAAAATAAAGAAAATAGTAAAATTGGAGACAAGCAAGGCTCTATCTACTGCAAGTAATGAAGATGCAAAAACCACGTGGCTTCAATAATTTAGGGATAGCTCTCTCCTTTACTACTACAATACGTAGTTTAAGACTGCTTTGGCTGCCTCATGAATGAGATATTTGAATTGTCACTATTCTGTTCTGCTAATCTCAAAGATACCTCAGAGGTAAGGTGGATGCTCTTCCTCCAGCCATCACATCTGGGTCTAGATAAGAAAGGGCTAGGAGGATGGGAAGTTGTCATTGGAGTTAACTTGACTAGAAACCCAACTCAACAGTTTTAATTTATATTTTATGTCTGCCATTGGTGATCTTTCTTGTATACACAAGATGGGATTGTAGACTTGTAGCTTAACACATTGTTACTTCCCTAAAGACAAATATTAGGTAATTAGAACAACTCTGTCTATGTCCCTTAGCAGTTACTTGGGTCTTTTTCATGTCCCTGCATAAGTCCCTAAGATCTCCAGTCCCAGGAATGTACAGTTCATTCTGCAAAGGGATTGGGAGAAAGAGAATGCTATAGCTTAGCTACATGTGGACTATGGCAGCCATCTGAGCCTAGCTTGGGCTATACCCACTGTATCACTGGTGAAAGTAACAGGCTCTACCAGCTGTGGACTGAAACCTCTAAGACTGTGAGCTAAAACAAGTCTTTCCTCTTTTCAAGTCAACAACCTCAGGTAGTTTGCTGTAGTAGTGTAAAGCTAACTGACACAGACATAGAAAAATGATGATAGAGAGGGTGGAGCTTGCCTTTCCCAAGAATGATTGTATCTGTTCTCTTTCAATGGGATAGGTAGTCCTACTAGGAAGTGGCTGTTTCAAGGCCTATGAGGCTGGAATTATTTGCAGGGAAGAAAGGCTTTTGTCTTTCATAGGATCACTAGAATGAGGCAAAGATCTTCTGATGTCTTCCCTACCTGGCTTTGAGGTCTGTATTCCTCGAAGAGAAACCACTTTCTCTTCAAAGAGACCCAGCTTTCCTATTATGTAGATAAAGAGACTGATGTTCTTAAAAGTCTTAGCTGGTAGAGAGAACAGGGGATTTGGAGACAGAACTTCCATGTGCTTATGAGCAGTTCCCAAATTCACTGGTGTCATGATTACTGAATATCCTACCCTCCTACCAAAAGAAAGACTGAAAACACTTGAATCGTTTTCCAAATAAGACAGTGAAGTCCCTAGAGGCATCAACAGGAATCTACTGCTGAGACATGTGGTAGAAGTGATTGGGTTAGACTAGGCTTGGAGCTTTGTTCAAGTTCCACAGTTGACTGTTACCTTGGGTAATAACAGCATATCTAAGGAGAGTGAGTACAGGGAAGATGAGGCTTGAAACATGTCTTGGGAGATACAGGACAGTTTGGGACAGGAAAAGAGATAGCTAAGCAGGAGGGACCAAAGAGCGTTTGTCAAGTTACTGAAAGTTTACAAGTGTGTCCAACCTATGATCCACAGGTCACATGTGGCTGAAGAAAGGTATGAATGTGGAAAAAATATCTACACTTAAGACATTGTGAGATTGTTTTGTGGTGTTTTCTTTTTATAAACTGATTGTACAGTTCCTAATTATGAGCTTTCCAGAGGACAATGTCATGTCACAGTGTCCAAAGGTTGGACAGAACTGGAAAATGCGATTTATTGAGTGATAGATTTTGAATTGACAAAGCCCAGTGACTGGCTCCCAACAGGATGCTGGATGATGACAGCTGGAAGGCCCATTGTCAAGATACCAGGAAAAACCACATCCAGATATGTAGCAGACTGCTTGGGGAAGGGGGAGCTTGCCTTGGCTGGAGGCATGGAGGCAGTGAACTGAGGGAGAGCCAGGGGCAAGAAAAGAAGAGGGATAAATGAGCTGTCAGGCCAGTTAGAAAATACTTCAGGAAAACTGATTACATACTTTTCCAAGTCCATATCACAACAGGAAAGAAGAGCCCTTTGGAAAGAATACTCAAAAACACGAAGACAGTGAAATGAACTCATACTGCTTGTGACTTGGCATGTGGGCTGCAGAAGGAAAGCAGGTGTCTTAGGTGGGAAGTGGGCTGGGCCAAAGACTCCTAGGCTAACATTACCAGGAAGACTTCATGTCCCAAAGGTCCCATAACCTTCCAAACAGTGCCACCAGCTAGGGGATCAAGTGTCCCAACACTTGAGTCTGTAGAGGATATACTTCATCCCATGCCATGATAAGGCATGATAAGGCCCACTTAGGAATCTGGCTCTCATGAGGTTCTGCTGGCCCATGGTCTAACAGAAGCTGGTATTAAAATCAGCTTTATTAGTGTCAGCCTATTCTGGTTACTTGTGTTATTAACCACAAAAAATGCTCATAGGTTTCTCTGCCTCCCAC